AATATAGTCGTGTAGAAAGTAACAGAAATAACGTGAGCAGCCCCTTTGCTCTTCGGCCTGCCTTGCAGAAAACCAAGTCGCGCTTAAAAAAGGCTTAGAACACACTTTGAATATCGATCCCTGTAGGCGAATGAGACAACCCGCATCCACTGGTGCACGTATTCACCCACTAACTCTAAAAAGAAGAACAACACCGTGTCCCCCCCCCCCCCTCGCTCGCGTTCAATATCCCTCTTGTTAAATTTAAAAAAAAAGTGGAACCTCTCGTGCGTTTCAGATTACATATATCTGGGGAAAGATCGAGCAAAACGTACTTGAAAAACGATTTAAATGATACTTACACATCGCGCAGTGAAACAAAAAAAAAAAAGAGAGGATCGTTTTTGATAGAAATTCCATATAGTATTCAGATTACGCGATGCTTTTGAAATTACTCAAACTCAATATTATTGTGTTGGCAATCGTATAATTTCAAACAGAGTATATCTTGCATTCCAAATGATTGTTTTCATCTTCTTAAATTCTATTTTAAGTACGTCAAAAAAAGATTTATATTTTATCACTCGATAGTATCGTGAAGTTACCACCAAGAGACCACGATGTATCATCAAAGACCTGTGGACTCCACGATTTGCTGGCCCTTAAGAAACTTTCACGCGTTGTTCTTTTACAAAAATGTGCTTCTGGTTTTTTTCTCTTTTTTTTCTTTTTCGAGTTAATTTAAAATAGTAGTTTTGCAATCGTATGACGAGCGTCGCACGAGTCTTCCCTTCTCTTAATGGTTCTCTTAAATCTCATAGTGTATGCTCGATGCGCCGACCGATTGCTAAGATCTGAAAATCGCATTGTGCACCGATAAACCCTTGTCACGTATCGATCGATCGTGACAAATTAGCAAAGAAAGAAAGAAAAAAATAAAAGAAAAAAAAAGGAAGAATACAGAGAGAGAAGAAAAAAAAAACAGAAAAAAAAAGGTGATAACAACAGACAGAGTATACTAAAGCATTTGGAAAAAATTACAAATTTCGCGTACAAAAGGTACTTATATACTTCGCGATCGGTCCGCGCACAAGATATACTAAAATTTAATAGCTGCTCCCAATGTGAAAATAGTAGAACTCTAACACAAATCAGATTTGCCTACATGGATCATCTCGACAACAATGCCTTTGTTAGACTTAGTGTTTCACAAAAGGTTTAATGGTTTACCAAAAGGTGTAACCGCCTTCTGTTCCTCCTCCTAGGAAGTTTTTCTTTTGTGATATAGCCACGCTGTGGCTCGCCATTGCAGCTAACTGGGCGGCGTTTGGAACTGTTGGGGGTGGTGGCAAGACGGGTTGTGAGATACTATCGAATCGATTAGTAGCGTCGAACCCATTCTTTAAAACAATATCGATAAATTAGTGACGGTACATGTAACATATCATAATTAAAAGAAAAAACAGATAAACCAAAGCAACGTACAGGCATCACAAGTGTAGGGGGCCTAACTGGAGGCTGCATTGCTGCTGCAGGGTAATACGCTGCAGCCGCAGCCAACGGTGGGTAATATTGTAATGGGCCATATGCAGGATAACATGAGCCTGCTAAATATCCCGGATACCCTTGACCATACATTGGCTGATACATCTGTACAAAATGAATTGTTGAACTTAGAAACAAAACACCATTCCACCAACTACTTCTCATAAGTATTTCTTCTTTTCTTTTTCACCCATTTTCAGATTTCTGGATATCATTGTAAATTATGTACTATCGTTAAAACGTTTGCTGCCTCTTCCTACGTAGTTTTAAGAGGCACAAGAAAAAGGATTGTAAAAAAAGAGAAAGTGGTGATCGAGACAGGGACAAGGTTGATTTCATATTTCATGAAAAATACCCAAAATAGAGCGTGGGTGGCGTCTCGTGTATGGTGGGAGATGAAAGAACAGGTGAAGGAAGAGTTCGTTCTCTTCTTTTTCTAGCAGATAGGATTCAGTGTTACAAGAGTTGTCTAAGAGAGTTGTGTCTATGTCTCGTCCAAGTGTGTTGTATTCTCCTTGGGCAAATACTTATGAAGAGTAGCGTCGCATCGTGTTGGACTGAGAATGTAAGAGATTCCTCACCATCGGATGGGTTAGCGTTTGATCATATGTCGGCGGCGGTGGGCCTTGCGCTGCATACAGTTGAGGTTGATTAGGAAATACTCCATACGGTGCGGCACCTGCAACTATTGTAAGAATCGCATGTAATCAGATCATTTGGAAACCACGATCTAGTCGACACATCGAAACACAGAGATGATTCTCTTACGTGTACCACCGTAGGTAGCAGGCTGTGCCGGCGCAGGGACAAAACCTGTTGGTGGATGAGGTGTCACCGGGTATGCTGTAACACATGCAATGGAAAATGCAGGTCCGTTCAATTTGTTGGCCGTAGGTTCGATCTAAGCCAACGGTACGTGGTACCACTGCCAGAAAGGACAATAGACGACACGGTTTATCGAGCAACAGGGAACACTGGAGCTATTCGTCCATTCTCAATTTAACATGCTATGCATTTATACGAGTCTCCCCGTTTGCTTCCTGGTGATCGTATAACTTGCGTCGTCAGCATCGAGACATCTTCGACGCTCAGATTTTTCTTTCTCTCCGTTTCTTTTTCTTTTCTTTTCAATTTCAACAAACGTAACAATCGTTACAATTATACTCTCGGTTAGGAGTTGTAATATTCGCTTCTATTTCTTTTTATTCTTCTTCGAATTTTCCATAAAAATCGCGTCGAATATGTCTTGATTCCAAAAGTGGTACTCCCACACCCAAGTATATCTTACACATGACATACACCGTTTTTATCAAGGTACTATTCAAAGCTCAAACAATGTTAGTCACTAAATAATGGTGAAAAGAAATAACCGAAAAAACGGTATTGTTGCCTTCTTGTTACCTTTAGAGTTTACAGCAGCTCACAATCTTTCATTCATACACAAAGTGGAGAGAAGAGTAAGATTGCAAAAATCGAAATGTATCAGATAAAAAAAAAATAAATAAATAACAACAGAGATAGAAAGATAGAGAACTAATATATTTTCATTTTTTTTTTAATGCACATCCGCGTAAACTTCAGTGGTACAAGACAGGCTTCGTAGTAAAAAAACATTTACGGCTCTTTCGAAAATCCATTGTGTGCTTTCTTTATCGATTCGTCTTTTCCCGTTCACAAACAATTTATCCATAGAAAAAAAGTAACACAACATTCACGTGTTAACAGAGGGAAATAGGCTCTTTTAACTCTCGAAAGGATTCTCGATAGAAACGTAGTTGAAAGCGAGACACTTGAGAATAGCAAAAAAGTCTCGAGCAATGTTTTCCAAAAAAAAAAAGAAAAAAAAATATATACGAATAAAAAGAAAAAACAGTGGAAAAAGACCGGTTTGATTAGAACAGAACAGCTTCTGTTGGAATTCTTTTCACCTTCTTAGGCAACAATAAGAACACAGAAAAATTGTACAACCAAGTCTAGAACAATAATACAGCCACTACGGGTGAGATATATATGTGTGTAACGGTCAAATGAATCGTCGGGCAGTCGGTCGAGAAAAAAAAAAAAAAATAATTGAATTAAGAACCAAGAGAAGACGAGAAAATAGAGGAAATAAGAATAACAAGACAAAGGAAAAAAGAAGAAATGAGGAACTATTCTCAAATGAAAACTCGCGTTAATCGACCTACCTTTACTTCTAAACTAAGATATACGAAACCGATCTCAAAGCAAATAGCGTTACGCAATCAAGGTAAAAGCCAAATACATTCGTCTAAATAGTCGAACCTTAGAAGATTCATCAACTGACGTTATACATTTCGGAGGAAAAAAAAAGAAAAAAGAGAAACGGAATGGAAGAGAAGTGTGTTTCCCGTTGGAGGAATGTAATTTCGAGATAGTACATCTTGACAATTTTGACGGAGAGATAATAGTGACGAAAATTAGCTCGAATTTTCTCGATACCATTCGCGACGATTGAAACACACACCGTATATAATACAACGTTGAGAAAATGAAATAAAAGATTTGTTTCCTTTCTTCTTTGGTAAATATATCTCGAGGGATTGTCAAATATTTCGTCACGAGACACACAGTTGTGAAACACTCAGGTTCGACTAGATGAAAAAAGAAAAGAAATGACAAAAAACAGAGCTAAAATAAAGCCAGGAATAAGTAAGGGTAAATGGGTTGTTCCAAAAAGTGATGTTAAAAAACAAGCCCAGTTAATTAAAATTCGATTAAGTGAGACATATTGTTTCCTTTTTTGTTTTCAGCTTTCTTTTTTTTTCTTTTTTTCTTTTTTTTTTTTGTAACCGTACACAAATGAACCAATTGAATTTTTCAATTCTCGTTTCGTATCTCAACTAAGAAGATATATCATCATTGTATTCGGGCGGTGAATGTGTAATTTATACAATGAGTACAGTGGTACGATGAAAAAAAAGTATACATATATATATACATATGTCCGTGAATATGTACATATGTATATGTATATGTATATTAAGTATCCACACATTCAAAAAGTTGTGACAAGATTCAGCAAACCACAAATTTCTGCAAATATCCATAAATAAAGATCAAACATGATTAAAAGTTTTTTTTTTTATAATTGCGTAATATATATTTATTAATTGGGCGCTGCTCGCGTGAAACATTGCCACGAGCAGACTTTCGTCATTTCGGCCACGTTCAACTCTCATTTTCGTGAGCAATCACGAGAACGCCCAATTTTCAAATTTTTTTTTTTTTTTTTTTCAGTAGAGACTAAATCATGCCCCGGTTCCACTGCCATTTAACATACGCAACAGACGTTCACAATTCGCATTTTTTTTTTTTTTGTTTCCTTTAAAAGAAAGCGATCACCTTCGCAGATAATACGAAAGAGAGAAAAAACCGCTGTGCAACGAGAACACTCGTTGAACGCCAACGAATCTCGATCCGTTAATGCTGGTCTAGCACGCGTATGATAAATAGCTCAGACCCAAAGGCAATGGATGGACATGTTGTACTCTAACATAGACGTCAGCCCACACCAAATTGTCCATGATAATTGAATACTGGTCCAACGCGTGGAAACGAGCACTCCCCCCCTCCTCATCCTGCAAATTACGGTTATATTACGCTTTATCGCCACGATTGTGTAGGATGATACTCTGTTTCCTTCATCCTATGGCCGACTAGAAGCAATCCAACGTTTCTCGCAGATGGTGAAAGAATAGGAAAAAAAGCAAAGAGGAGGCTCGTGTGAAGTCTCCACTGGGTCGGATCAGTCTTCAATCGAATAATAAATTTATGTGTCAGTGCCACGGTGCAAACAATCATCGAATCCAATAACAATTGATCATAATATTAATATGCTAGTACGAGTTTACTGGGTAACTTGAGAACAGTGTATCTTTCTTTCTTTTTTTTTTTTTCTTTTGCTTTCTCTATGTATACCTAATTCCCTTCTTTCTCTTTTCCCTCTTTCAGGCCTCTCCCCCTTTTTCATCCCCCCCGTTTCTTTCTGCTCTTTATTCGACCCGCCTTTCTCTCGTACACGCACGCATTCCTCTCGTCTTGCTCTCTGTTATTACTTTGCGAAACCTAATTTGTCCCAATGAGCATATTCGACCTAATTCGCCATCCGAACTGAATGGTCTTTCGCGTTTTACCCGTATTCACGCGAGAAAAACTGGGCGAATCCTGCCCGTTTTTTTTTTTTTTTTTTTTTTTTTTTTTTTCGTTACTTCACGACACATCTATATTTTTTTGTTTCTTTTCGTCGGACGATTTTTTTATTTTATTCATCGAAATGCTTCGGTGGAACAGTCTTTGCACCTCGTGTAACCCAGCGACCGAGGGATGATCGATAAATTGTTTGTTAAATTTTGCTTACGTCTGTGATTAAGAGGAAATATAATGTTTACGAGCGATACACTTCGTGAGCAATAAGTAGAAAGAAGAGAGAGAAAAAAAAGGAACATTATAATATTACACCATTGACTAATTTTCGTTCTTTTTGTTTTATGAAAGTTTTTATTTTTCACCCATGTTCTATATATTCCATGTTAAAATGCAAAATTTGACTAGAAGAATAATATATCACGAAGCCAATGTACACCTACAATGTTACATCTATTCGTACAACTATCTTTTCCCCCTCGTTTTTATGTACACATATATACATATACTTGTGTGTGTATATATGTGTGTGTGTGTGTATAGCTTGAATTGATCTTTCTTTCTGTCGAACACAGTCTAGGCCGCTGGGTTTCAGAAGCTAGAGGCACCCTTATATTCACGACGATTCTCGATGAATATCGTTCAATACTATCTCATATTTAAGCTCACTATTAACAGTATACATGATATATATTCTGCCAACATGCACATGCAACTCAAAAACGCTCGAGAGATTCCTATGACCTTGTAGCAACAATTAGACTGGACCAATTACTTCTTCTTTTTTTCTTTTCTTTTCTTTTTTTTTCACTTATTATTTTCTTCCTCTTTCAATGATTCCCGTTGAAACATTTTCATTGAAACAAGAACAATTTCGAAATGTTAATGAATTCGATGGTTCGTTCATGACAGGAATAGGAACGTCTCTGTATCGAATCTAAGACCATTTACGAGATTGTTCAAACTACACGACAATTAAAAAACGACAAAAACAATTCGCTCGATTCCTCCTTAACCTTCGATTCTCGATTTCCCCCGCGAAGAGAGAAGAGAATGACTGTTTTATCTCGCGATTTAAACGTCGACAAAGAAGTAGGAGAAAAAACCTAAAAGAAATGCTGATCGTTTTGAAAGTTAAGGAGGTAACGAACGAGCAAACGTAAAAGATAGAATTATGAAAAAGTCTACCACATGTTATGAACATGCATTACATTATAACGTGCGAGCAACTTTTTTACATTGAACAAAAATTCGAGATAGAAAGTTTCTTTTCTTCCTTTTTTTTTTTCGTTTCTTTTTTCTGTCGTTGTTGTTTACTTTTGCTTTTTTTTTGCTTATTTGGTCTGTGCTGGAACAAAGGTAATTAAGTAATGAATTACAATAATCAAAGAAGCTCGCACGTCGCGCGTGTAACTAGCAACGCATTCCAAACATGCAAACTAAAATACAAATATGTGAAAAATGATCAAAGCTATGTATATATATATTTGCACATAAAGTAGGTAAGGATGCAAACAAACGTAATTTCGCTCGAGATTTCTCTCCTTACATGTTGCATACATCCAGAGGGTGTATGGATTTGTAAAAACATGATTCATCGTTGTTAATTTTTATCCTTGATCGATGAAGCATGTTCTCTTCTGGTGTCATTTTTATCACCCTCCTTCTTTATTTTTTGTTTGTTCTTTTTTTTTTTTCTTCTTTATTTTTTGTTTGTTCTTTTTTTTTTTTTGTTCATGTACTACTCGACAGTTCAATCATGAGTTTATTCTTTCTATATTTTTCTTCTTTGTTTTTTTGCTGTCTCTCCATTTTTGGAGTTACTAGGCAAGAAATAATTAATATTCGTATATGTTACATATACGAATGTACAAACGCTATGCTTTTTATTCTTTCATCTTTTTCCAATTAAACGGAAATAAACTAATGCACTACTATTGTCGAGGAAAGAAGTATACTTTTTCCTTAAATATCAACTACAAGTACGTGCAGAACCGACCACAAGTTTCATGTTCAATATCATGTTATCATAGTTTACACTATATCGTAATTTACATTCTGTTTATTTCGTATTAGTTCTTTCTTTCTTTCTTTTTTTCTCAAGAAAATAGACAAAATAAAATGGCGACCGTACGACCATTTAACGAGTACGTGACTTGAATTATATTATATACGCATGGTGCGTCTGTAGTAATTGAACAGTACATACATTTCTGTTTGTTTTTTCCTGTTTATCGAGAAACTTGTAGCACGAGTCGAAGCAACATGCACTATTGTTAAAAGTGAGCTACCAAGTTTCTATTGAGTAAAAGTATTATAAATACGCTGAGCTTAAATACAGCATTCGTGTCCACCCCGTTGGCTCACCGTACCATCTTGTGAGGAATCATTTCTAAGAGAATTTATTCGAATTTATCTGAAGAACAGAAAGAAATTAATGCATATCGCGCGACACAAATGAGACGATAATACTTCTTCTTCTTCTTCTCTTTAAAGACCAGCCACAAGAGATACAGTGAGTGTTTAAAACAAAGAAAAAAAAAATGAAACAAAAATTAGAAAAAAGAGAAAAAATAAGCAATCAGCCAAATACCACGATTTCAGTACGAAATATTTGTACACCCATATCAATATCTTACGTTCATATTGATTTGGATATATAGCAGCCGACGTCTCCAATTCAAAAAGTATAATTCTCGATCGTGTTTTAAAGTCATTCTCAAAGGACTTACAAATACCATTGATGATCCTAAGCGAACTCTCTGTTTTAACGTGTGATTTGTACTTTTCTGGTTTTTTTTTTTTTGTTCCTATAAATATCGCGAGATGACAGCTTCGCTTGGAAAGCCTGCGATTAAATTCTACGCGGTCGGAAGTATGTATTGTATATCTTTCTTCAACTGTACACGAACGTATGAATGCTCGTGCTATACACTTCCGTTTTCTTTAGATCGGCAGATTTTCAACAAGCGATCTCTTTTTGACAGATGGAACGTATTCTGTCGATCCTTTTAATACCTGGTGATCGTGGATTAATAACCAACGCAAGCCTGGAAAAACGAGGAAACTAATATTAGTCTATCATCGGATCAATTTCATTTAAAACGACAAATTTCCACAATTTCCTTCCGCGATATATGTTTTCTTACGTTACATTTTACGAACCAGGCGATTCCACGATCTCTTGGTATTACACACGCTATCTGCCAATGAGATTAATGTAAAAGAGGAATCGGAAAAAGGCTGGATAGAATTCAATCGCTCGAAACACCGAAGGCGGGAAATAAGGATGAGTTGACGCTT